AATCTTCTATACTAGGCAACAGCAGTACTTTTAAATATACTTGCCTTTTTGCTGATTTTTGTGGTCTTTTCAGTTACCACAGCCCGACCAAAAAATTGCAGCATCAGTTGTTTGAGGGTTTTCAGTTTTTATGGTGAGGAAAAATCCAGCAGTTGAGACATGCTTTTCCTAGTATTTCAGTTATTTTAACATTTGCTCGGGAGAAACATGGATGAAACTCTGGCATCCTGCATGTAAAATCAACAGCCAACATGATTCCAACTCTCTTTTAATTAAGAATTTGTAGCAGTGTCCAGTTTGGTGGGTGCCTTCTCCATTGTTCTACGCATTAGCATTTAGCGATTTTCATTAGCATATAAGAAACGAGTTATATGAATTCTCTCTATTTAAGGAAAATGAGTGGCCCAGAAAGGGATCCAAAAGGGGATCCAGTTATGTTTACACCCATGTAGGATGTGATACCTACCTCTTCATGATTAATCCATCTTTTAGTTCAGGTTTGCATGGCTCTGGCCTCTGAGGATTACATGCTTCATGTTCAATTTGCCATGTACAGACATTTTTCTGGAAAATTAAGTGTGTTTGTTTACTATCAGCTTATCACTTCTATTTAGTGTTAGGTTACAATTACTGACTAAAATAAAATAATTAATACATTGTTTTTAAGGCAACCCAGGTTTCTGTATCATATTTATTCTATTTATTTAGAGAATTACTGTAGATGACTGACTGAAGACTCGCGCCTTCGGCTCTCATATTAGCTCCTTTGGGGCTGACAAAAACCTCCCAATTTTCCCTCAGAAGGGGTTGGAATGTCTCTTACTTTAACCTCACCTGCTCAAACGGCCCAGGTAGTTGTCACTCTGCAGCTACACTGGACACAGAACTCACGTGAAGTACCTGAAAAATAAGTAAAAAATACAGACTCAAGAAACAAGAAACAAGAAACAAGAAACATCAAAGTTTTTAAACCCTTTTACGGTTCATTAAGCGCCTTTTCAATTGTGCGTTTCCCTTTTAAAGGATAGACTTGAATCCAAACAAAATCCGAAACCTTTCAGCGAACATCGACTTCGATCGACTCCGCCATGTTTGCTTTTGGTTCCCAGTCCGGCTAGTAAGCCGCCAAAAAACGTCCGTTACACCAGCAAGATTTTCCCTACAAAAAATCATCTTATCGTTTGCAAAAGGATTTTATGAAGTCCTCCATGGACACAACCGGACTGCAAAGTGGAAACGCAAAGGCTGCTTGTACTGGTTGCTTCTGCATTAAAAGGTTTGCTGTTGGTATTGACCGGGAGTGAAGACTCAGGGATGAATGCATTGAAACAGCACCGAGAATATAAAAATTAAAGGTTACCTGACATATTCTCTTCGTTGCGTGGAAACTTTTCGTCGGGCATGACAAGTTACAGTTGCAAATGGTGCCATGTGCGCTTTCAGCTCGAAACCGAAGCGACAAGGAATCTTACGTTGTGTAAACTTCATGAGGTGTCCAAGGGGGGTTTTGGCCTACAGGCTTACTACAGGCACACCAATCACAAACAAGCATTACGCGTGCACCAATCAAAATCACACCAACAGTATTTTCAATTATATTCTAATTCGCTACCCCGCATTTATCATGTAACAAGCAACTTCAATTGGGGTGTGTCAACACGAGCCGTGTGCGACCCTCTTTATTATGCCTTCACCAACAGAATGGATGAAAATAATACAACAAACAGAATGAAACTTCGGAAATGTAAAAAATTACAGCAAGAAAAACAACCCAACAAAATGATCTAAACTATGCTCGTATAACACTGATTCAGTAAACATACAAACGTGCTAAACTTTTCATATAGCAGCATGCAAAAAGCTACGTCTAAGAGAAACCCCTGATCACTGGGTATTTAATTTTGAGGGCGTAGGGACTGTCGTAAGACGCGAATGAATATAAATGAGAACAACTCAAATATATAGCCTACCGCTAATGAAGCAACAGAACAGCATACCACGTAACACCCCAAAGAAAACGTTACATAACCCATGATAAATACATTTGACTACGGGTATTACAGGGAAATTCCTCGTAAAGTCCTGACATTGGGAGTAAACAGCTAACGACGGCGAGGATAATGACTCGACTGTTTTATATAATAAGTAAAACAACAAGTTTGCAATCACACTTTTCAAGTACATTTCTTTGTCCTCTACAAACGAACAACGCGAAAATAGACCTCTTTCTTGTATGTTATGTTTCTCCAATACAGGTCATGTGATAATAATCTCATTTACTTCCCGTTGCGGAAGTAAATGACTAGGAGCCAGGGCCGCAACCCACGTGACCAAGGCCAGGTTTTATGAGCCCGCGAGACTGAGCACCCCAACAACCTGGTTGAGGTCATTGTTATCTGAGGTCTTCCGCAACCCACGGCCTGGAGTTTAGTGCACCAGACCCTCTCGGTCAAACCTCCCAATTTTCCCTCAGAAGGGGTTGGAATGTCTCTTACTTTAACCTCACCTGCTCAAACGGCCCAGGTAGTTGTCACTCTGCAGCTACACTGGACACAGAACTCACGTGAAGTACCTGAAAAACAAGTAAAAAATACAGACTCAAGAAACAAGAAACATCAAAGTTTTTAAACCCTTTTACGGTTCATTAAGCGCCTTTTCAATTGTGCGTTTCCCTTTTAAAGGATAGACTTGAATCCGAACAAAATCCGAAACCTTTCAGCGAACATCGACTTCGATCGACTCCGCCATGTTTGCTTTTGGTTCCCAGTCCGGCTAGTAAGCCGCCAAAAAAACGTCCGTTACACGAGCAAGATTTTCCCTACAAAAAGTCATCTTATCGTTTGCAAAAGGATTTTATGAAGTCCTCCATGGACACAACCGGACTGCAAAGTGGAAACGCAAAGGCTGCTTGTGCTGGTTGCTTCTGCATTAAACGGTTTGCTGTTGGTATTGACCGGGAGTGAAGACTCAGGGATGAATGCATTGAAACAGCACCGAAAATATAAATATTAAAGGTTACCTGACGTATTCTCTTCGTTCCGTGGAAACTTTTCGTCGGGCACGACAAGTTACAGTTGCAAATGGTGCTATGTGGGCTTTCAGCTCGAAACCGAAGCGACAAGAAATCTTACGTTGTGTAAACTTCATGAGGTGTCCTAGGGGGTTGTGGCCTACAGGCACACCAATCACAAACAAGCATTACGCGTGCACCAATCAAAATCACACCAACAGTATTTTCAATTGACCACGGGTATTACAGGGAAATTCCTCGTAAAGTCCTGACATTGGGAGTAAACAGCTAACGACGGCGGGGATAATGACTCGACTGTTTTATATAATAAGCAAAACAACAAGTTTGCAATCACACTTTTCAAGTACATTTCTTTGTCCTCTACAAACGAACAACGCGAAAATAGACCTCTTTAGCTTGTATGTTATGTTTCTCCACTACAGGTCATGTGATAATAATCTCATTTACTTCCCGTTGTGGAAGTAAATGACTAGGAGCCAGGGCCGCAACCCACGTGACCAAGACCAGGTTTTATGAGCCCGCGAGACTGAGCACCCCAACAACCTGGTTGAGGTCATTGTTATCTGAGGTCTTCCGCAACCCACGGCCTGGAGTTTAGTGCACCAGACCCTCTCGGTCAACAACCGCGCAGGCACGATGTTCAGTCGACTTGTGCCGCCCCGGGAAGTTACTGTTCAATTTATGGTGGATCTTCGAAAAGCTATTCGTTACAGTATGAACACAGCCTAATATTGGCAGTGATCATTTAAGCCTAAATCAATGTAACTAAATAAGGCTTAAATAGATTTAAGGGAGTCTTTAATCGATTTGACCATATAGATTTAGAACGATTTATTTTAATTAAAAGTTATGTATTTTTATTTTAAAAATATATAATATGTCATTTTGCCATTATGCCAGCCGCTGCCTAAACATTTTGGATCATTATCAGCAGCTGGCCAAAGGGTGTTATATAAATTTGATAAATAAAAATACATGTAAATTTACTTAGTTACGTATTTTTAATTATCAAATTTATATAACACCCTTTGGCCAGCTGCTGATAACTAAAACTGATCTGTAGGTTGCGCTGATCCCCAAAATTAACCGTAGGCTCTTAGCCAATAAGAAGACAGTTAGTGAGTGCAATGTATGATAAAAACAAATATGTAATATCTGGGGGACAGTCACTGGTTAACCCTTTAATCCCCAATATCCAAATACTAATTTTCCACTGTCCATACATTACCTTATAAGATCTAAGCATTTCTCCTTTTGGTGATCATTTTGTTAATTCTCCTAACCTTTTCTATTGATGATGTACTGATATAGTTGGGAGAAAATTGATGTTGGTCACACTTGGGATTTAAAGGGTTAAAGCAAAAATAGTGATTGAAAAGAAAAAGCCATGCATAAAGTTGAAAACCCGGGCGACCCCCTTAAGAAAGTGATGGGGACGTCGAAAAACCCCTAAAGGAGACTAATGTGGGTGTGGCTTAAGCTTAAAACGACCACTAAAGGAGATTTCTGTGTTGAGGCATTTTTTGTTAATTTCTTTATGCACACGCCCTAAGCGATACCTGAATTATGGGCAAATATAGTCACTTTTCGTGCCAAAACCTTGCGTGAGACCAAAATCTGCAATTTACACCCCAAAGCAAGACGACGAGTGTCCCAATCCACTTTTACATGGAAGATCCCCTTCCCGGGGGTTGAAAATTAACAAGTGTCAGTGTTGTGCTGATATTTATTTAACTATACACAGTTTCTTTAACAATAGTAGTATAAATATATAACAAATTAGAGTGACAGGGACCTTAATTTGGAATCCTAATATACCAGATTTATTTGATTGGTAAGAAAGAGTTTATAAAACGACTATAATGAGCTGACGAGAAAGTAAAATTGTGAGTTATCAATTAGCTTCACTTGCTAAGAATTTGATATTTTCCGCTTATTCAATAGTGTACGTAACAAGTTTTCCAATACGATGAAGTTTTTTCTGGAAGCTATACTGTGCGCTGTTTTGGTAAAAGCTCTTGCAAATTCTCCGGCCCCTGCGAAAAGTGGCACTGATGGTGGAAAACCACAGTGTAATGTTAACAACTACTTTTATGCCGGATCAAATACCAAGAAGATCGAAAAACAACTGGACGAAATCATGCAAGAAATCAAAGCTCTGAGAGAAAACCGAACCGACGGTGGTGGTTCTGGCGGAAAAGGTATCTGATGTTTCTGTAATCATTCCTTTTGCTTTTGCTCTTTAGTAGTTGAATTTTGGTACTGAGTGCATGTGTTTATCCAGCCAAACTTTATTTTGGTTTTCGTCCTCGAGAAGAAATCATCGTAAAGCTTTATTTAAGCCTAGTTATTTCTCTTCTATTTTCAGTTTACAAGAACTGTGCCGAAATTTACCAGTTAGGTATAAAGATCAATGGAGTGTACAAAATCAATCCTGGTGGTTTGGGCGAATTTGAAGTGTACTGTGATCAGAAAACTGCTGGCGGAGGTTGGACAGTTTTCCAGAAGAGGCAAGATGGCTCTGTGGATTTTTACCGCCCTTGGGATGACTACAAAAGGGGATTCGGGAATCTGAACGGCGAGTTTTGGCTCGGATTAGACAAGATTCATCGTCTGACTGTAAGCGGAAGTTACAAGCTTCGCGTGGACTTGGAAGATCTTCATGGCAGTACAGCATTTGCAGAGTACAGTTCATTTGCTGTGACAAGTGAAAGGGCGAAATACCAATTGAGTTTGGGAAGTTACTCAGGTACGTCTTGGACTCAACATTACCATACTGGGTGGCGCAGTGGTGAGGGCACTCGCCTCCCACCAATGTGGCCCGGGTTTAAATCCCGGCGTCGACGCCATATGTGGGTTGAGTTTGTTGTTGGTTCTCCCCCTTGCTACGAAAGTGTTTTTTCTCCAGGTACTCCGGTTTTCCCTTCGCCACAAAAATCAACACCTCATTTCAATTCGATCTGGGGCGCACGTACACGTTTTTAAAAACAAACTATTTTTTTACAATTACAGTTTTTTGAGCAGTTACAAATTTACTATCACCATCACTTCGCTTAGACAACAGCAATACATCAAATTAACAACACTGCTCAAATCCTGCAAAGGAAGGTGAGTTAACGCATCTGATCGGAAACGCTGCTTTAATTGTTACCATTGTTCTTAAAGGTACCGCTGGAGATTCCCTTGGTGGTCATCGAGGACTTCCATTTACCACCAAAGATCGTGATAATGATAGCCACGGAAACAATTGTGCCGTCCTTGCTAAAGGCGCATGGTGGTACAGCGGTTGCTTTTCTTCCAACCTGAATGGTTTGTACCTTCATGGAAAGGACAGTACTCAAGGAATGGCATGGTACACGTGGAAAAAGAACTACTATTCTGTCAAGAAATCCGACATGAAGATACGTCCAAAGGATTTTTGAGTTTCCAGTATACCGCATTTGTTAGTAAGACAACCGTGTGTACATAGAAGATATTACACGGTGGCGCGAAGAGATGAATTTTATTTTCGGGTGGCAAAAGAATATTTTACGAACGAGCGCAGCGAGTGAGTAAAATATTGTTTTTCCCACGAGAAAATAAAATTCATATCTTCAAGCCGCCGTGTAATGTTCTTTTTATTATATAGACAAAAAGACATCCATAAAATAATAGAGGGAAATGACCGAACTTACGTCATCGATAAACTCACGTGTGAGATTACGAAAAATAAGCCACTCGGGTCCCGGATGTAGTTTTTATGAATTTTACGAGTGGTATATTTTCCAGTAAATACTCGTGTCTAAATAATAAAGGAGAATAGCATATGTGTAGTCAGGTGTAATGCTTTGAGGTGATTGCTTTAGATTCCAGTAACTGCTATCCCGCGCATTAACCTTAAGAAAGGACATTTAGACAGAGTTAAGTAAGCTGTTTGAGGCCCAAAGGTCAGTCATAAGTAGCTGATCTCGAGATAAAGCAAATTAATGACGAAGTGTTCTCCGGTGAAATTAGCCAAAAAGCTGAGTAAAACAACCAACTGAAAGGTATTTCTAGTTTGGAATCGTTTCAGCTTTTTGCATAGCTTGATATCTATCAAACCAGAAATGAAAATCATTCTATCTCTTGGGATATCATAACAGTTCAAGACTACCGTCGAAGCTCTTTGTGTGACAAAAAAGGTTGAATAAAGTTATTAGACGTAAGTTGTGAGATTTCTGTTGAATTTCAAGGGATCAGTGTCTGAGGAAGATCCTCAGAATAGGTGGGAAAAATTTTACACAGTGTATGTGTGGGTTGGGGCCGAGGGGACTGCCCTGGGACGTTTTCTGTTATTTTCAAAGAATTATCGGTAAAATAAAAAGTATCTAAATCGCTGGCAAGTTTCCCGGCCTCCCCTTCTGAATTTTCCGCCAGCAGTTTTCTATGACCGTGTACATTCTGAGCTTGTAACATGACTTTGGCCTCGGAAACAATAAATGAGGGCTTCATGGTGGACATCGTTTTGCAGTTAAGCACTTCGTTTTGTTTTCTTATGGGAAGCTAATTCTATAAAACCTTGGAAAATATCAAAAAACTGATTAAAATGACATGGAAGATTAGAACGTACCCCTGAAGGAGACGAATCCAGGAACGTCTCAGGCCACATTTTAAGTATAGTCGGAGACGAGGTTATCAATTGGCACAAAATCAACAAGATAATGCGTTACTCTGTAACGCCTGAAATTGTAAGTAGTTTAAAATTCAAGATGAGTAATGACTGTGACCAAGACTGTGACTTATAATATTGACATGGCGGATACTGATGTGGCATTTATCTCTGTATACCAGCCGAGTTATCAATTTACAATCGCACAAGTTCTCGATTAATTGCGATTACTGAAACCGCAGCGGTTCATCCGTGATAAGAAACAAAACAGTGGTATTGGAATTTCTTACAATGACGAGTGTTTCATCTAAAACTGCAATGAAAATAATACGTCTCCGTCTGTCTTATGTTAAAATAGAAATTAGGAAATTCATAAAATAAGGATTAAATGTCCACGGGACTGACATAGTCTATGGCTTACTGGGAGGATTTGGAAGTCAAGAAATGTAAAAGACAGAAAATTAGCAAAACTTGACATTGTGTTTTGATTCCACTTGAATACAAAAGGTTTGCTTTACAAATTAAATTATAATCGAACCTGATTTGTCGTTACTAACGATCCCTCCGATGTGATTGGCGAAAAAAAGTGATCATAAAACACGGTCATTAATAAGCTAGCGAGAAAAATCCCGTTTTCAAAAGAGCATGAGCCTGACTGAAGAGGAAGTTTAAGAAAGTACTAAAGAGTTATCGACCACTGAGAATTTGATTCTTTCTTGAGTGTTAGACGTGATACTGAAAGGGTCGAACACAATGAATTTTTTCATCAAAGCTTTACTGTGCGCTTTTTTGGTGAAGGCCATTGCAAAATCAGCGGTCCCCACAAAAAGTGGTACTGATGCTAGAAAACCACAGTGTAACGTAAACAACTACTTTTATGCCGGACCGAATACTAAGAAGATCGAACAACAACTGGCCGAAATCAGAGAAGAAATCAAGGCGCTCAAAGACAACCGAACTGGTGGTGGCGGTTCTAGCGGCAAAGGTATTTCTTTGAACATCGTCCCTCTTTTCACTGTCTTGTAGCGCTCTGATCCTAGCGATTCACTACTTTCTTTTAAGCGCGCTTATCGTCTGCAAACGATTCATCACTTGACTGTGTTTCGGTTCACGGCTTAACAGCAGCTCGGAGGTTTTACGACTTTTAAAAACGGCCTACTTGCTGATGGGCAAGCGAAATAAGTACCAATGAGTGCGTACATTCATCTTATATTGGTCTTTATTAGCCCCGGTTCAACGAGGGTCGTTTTAAACTTTAGGATGAGTAAGTAAAGCCCACTATTCCATATCCACTGTGGAAAAGAAGAGCCCAAAACCATCAGCAAGAGAATAATAAGCTGTTCATAAATTTGCGTATAAGTATCCAATAAGGTTAAATATAGGACTGTCATATCATCATATCACTAGTACAAGTCTCGTGCGGAAATTCACACCAATCCGATTTTCGCTACAATTTTCTTTTTCCAATAGTCGTAAGCTTTACACTGGCCATTCTATTTTCAGTTTACAAGAACTGTGCCGAAATTTACCAGTTCGGTATAAAGATCAATGGAGTGTACAAAATCAATCCTGATGGTTTGGGCGAATTTGAAGTGTACTGTGATCAGAAAACTGCTGGTGGAGGTTGGACAGTTTTCCAGAAGAGGCAAGATGGCTCTGTGGATTTTTACCGCCCTTGGGATGACTACAAACGAGGCTTTGGTAATCTGAACGGCGAGTTTTGGCTCGGACTGGACAAGATTCATCGCCTGACTGTAAGCGGCAGTTACAAGCTTCGCGTGGACGTAGAAGATCTTCATGGCAGTACAGCATTTGCACAGTACAGTTCATTTGCTGTGACAAGTGAAAGGGCAAAATACCAATTGAGTTTGGGAAGCTATTCAGGTACGTTATGACACCCCGGTGTGTGATTTCAAGCCTAATAAATCGAACATGAAGCTCAAGTATGAGAAAACAAGCGTTTTATAACTTCTATAGTTCGTAATAACTATTATCTAGATCATATTGAACAGATGATTACTTTGCTTGGACAGCAAACCGCTCAATCAAACACCTTGCCAGCAACTCATATGAAAAACTAGGATGAAATAATTCACGGTGTTGTTGTTGTCTGATCGTTTTTTTAAGGTACCGCTGGAGATTCCCTTGCGTATCACAGAGGATATCCATTTACCACCAAAGATCATGACAATGACGGCAACGGAAGTACTAATTGTGCTGTGGCAGATAAAGGCGCCTGGTGGTACAATAATTGCTACTACTCCAACCTGAATGGTTTGTATCTTCACGGCAAGGTCAATAATCAAGGAATGGTGTGGTACAAGTGGAAAAAAAACTACTACTCTGTGAAGAGATCTGAGATGAAGATACGTCCAAGGGATTTTTAAGATTCAATTATGTCGTTTCTTTCGGTGAAACAACCATGTATAAGAGGGGCGTTAAATAGCGTGTAATCAGGTGTAATGCTGAAAGGGTACTTTGCTTTAAATCTTATTGTAATCGCGCTAAGCTTTTAAAGACTATCAGATAGAGTTTGAAAATCTTATTTAGTTAACATTTACGAAGGTTCAGTAAGCTCTAATTCGCACAAGGGTCCATCTAAGTTGAACCGTACGTGAAAGTGGATGACGAAACTTTTTCAGTGAAAACTACTGAGTAAAACAAATAACTCCAGGCACTTCTGATCATTTCTTTCACTTTAAACTTGCGGATTGTGAGCAAGGTGTGCATTGCTTGCTATCTATCAGTTCACAAATGAAATCATCAAACTTATCAGCTAGAATAATATAAAACAGGTTGTAAGGCTACCGCTGAAAGTGAGTAATAAAGTTGTTCCTAAGGTGTAGAATTTTATGTGTGTTTGTCTGTGGCTAAGTTAAAGTTACATTCAGGCATTTCTTTGACTGTGTAACATGATTTAAAAACTGTAGTTTTAATAGTACGAGGAGCATTAGGAGACTCGTAAGCCTCTAGTGTTTCCCGAAATTGGGTCTTACAGATAAAAATCATGACCTTTTAAAACACGTGATAAATTTTTCGAAAAACCAAAGACCGAGGGATGACTTGAATGTTTGTACCAATGGTGTGTACAACAAACGCAAATCTTAAATAATACAGAATAGCAGGATATATTTAATCCAACCAATAAAGCAGTAGATAAAACTGGAAAAACAGTTATTTACAGCGTAAGTTGTACTCCCCGCGCCCAAAACATCGGTGGATTTGTTTCATAAACTATGCAGTTAACGGAAAGTTTTCCATTTATAAACCATCCTATACTGTATCCATTTATGAAAACCCCGGTTGTTCAAGATGGATATTGCTATCAACCGGATAAATACCTATCCAGTGGATAAGGATAGAGAAACCAATTGCGCTAGCTGTCCAGTGAATGGTAATTTATCTAATAAATAGCGCTATCCACCTTTTACTGAAAAACTGGCGCGAAGGAAAAATATTTAAAAAAATTCCTCTTGGTTTGTTAAGGTGGCCGTTTCTTTAACTTTCCTTTTCAACTTTCTGCGTGAAATTTGAGAATACGATTCAAAAATTCCGGTTTAGTTTTGACCCTATTTAAGCCACCGAAAACAATGTTCCAAGTGAAAAGAAGTTGTTCACTTGCAATTTGCACAGAAAATTGCCCAGCAATTTTTTAACCACTTTAATTTCTTCATATCATTTCCTCGGAGTTGACTACAGGTCAAATTATGAACGAATTAAACCGATCAGGTGACGAATTACAAACTATAAGTAACACGATACTCATTTAACTGCTTTGAGCAACCATGATAACTTGACGCGAACACGTGACAGACTCATTGGTCTCACGCCCAGCACAGTTATCCGTCCCTGGTGCTTTATGCTTGTGTTTGTTATCCTGTGGTAACTCGAGTTGAACTGGGATCTGTTAGGCTGGTACCTTGGTAACCCCCTTATTTTGTTGAAGAAACGGTCCAGATAAGAACGATACTAACAACGGCAACGAACATGTTGGAATGCAAAAAAGGTGCTAACTTTTCTATTGTCTGTACTTACTTCTGATTGGTTTAAACAGCAAAAGTTAACAAAACTTCATAAAGCAGTACATATATTCATTCTTACTTTCCAACCATCTTCCATATAACAAAATCTGGTCTCAGTTTGAATAACAAAAGAAATCCTATGTGGGGAACACGTAAAATTGTAAACGTTTCTTGGCTATTGTTTTCAACTCTTGTGATTGGTCAAAATCTTTTAACACAAAAAAACACCCTTTCAGAGTGGAGTGTAAATGCATTTTATTGCGTAAACGGCCCTCATGTAGGTTTATGCATTCTCTGTGTGAAAATGAGAACATTCCTATGCGGGGAAAGTACCGTTGCCGCATAACAAAAGAAATTGCTATCCACCTTACCCGGATCATTACTTAATTTTTTTCAATTCCATACCAATGTAATGGGTTCGTTTTCGTATGGTGAAGGAGTAACCATATTTGAAGGCCAACAGGAGGAGCTGCTAGGGAGGAAGAGGAAGTAGTCTCTCTCCTGTATGCAGCTTTTTTTTGTCTTCACGTAGCGTGAAAATCGAAAAAAAGACGACTGCGTATGAGACTAAGGAAGAAGCTTAATGTCTATATGTTTGTAACGACAACAATCTCGACCTGAATGAATGGCAATTTACATGAACCAACATAATGTCCGCAAACTTGTCAGACTTTTGACCATGCAACTGCCTTTAATTGTTTGATGACATGCAGGTCATTTTGTGCTTGATTCGTGAGCAGATTCAATAAGTTTGTCGACCTATAAACATTTCCAAGAGCTATCGAGGGAAGTGATATCTGGGGGGGGGGGGGGGG